CTTAAATCTCGTAACATTATACATTTATATTTTTATTATATTGACCTTTCAGCCGTGCCTGGCTAACAATACAAAAGTTACAATGATGTGGCACACGAGCACTTATGTTATCATATCAAATAACATAAAACTGACCTTTCGTCTGTACAAAGTAACTTATCTGGGCTGTGTTTTAGTAGACTAGTATTTTGTAAAATACAGTCACATTTCAATTATTATATATTATATATGTATATAGATTATTGCTATTTTGAAATAAGTTCTTAAACTTATTTTTCTTAAAACAGAACAGTAAATAAAGAAGTGAAGCAAACATTTATCTCTTCTACTTATGACCTTTGTACTTGGTTGCTGCTTGTTGTAGGATGCTAAGCCTTTAAAAAGTTTGCACATGGAGGATCTGAAACAAAATATTTTTTTTATGTTTTATATATATATACATTTGAATAACTAAAAAATCATAAATTACTACATCAGTACCATAGAATTCCACTTTAATTTATCAAGCTTAGTAGCTAAGCTGTATTTTTGTGTAAAATAAATATGAAATTTCGAACAGACTAAAGATACATCCTACCTACTTGAAATCTTGGTTCAAAAGAAAGAAATGGCATCCTAAGACTTTAAAATGGCTGAGAAAGCCACTAGGGGGACATTTTGAGCTTTTGATTGGTTATTCATGTCATATATAGAAGTAAGTATATATAAGGGAGCGTTTCCAAAAATGGAAAGAGGTGGGTGGGGTGCATGAGCAATATCTTAGCAAATGGAAAAAATAAGACCTTCTTATTTTATACTCTAACTTGTCAATATTGGTAATTCGAGTTTCTAATTTGTATGAAATTATAGACTGGGTATTTTGACTTCACAAACACCTAATTTGAACAAGTGCTGCATTCACCATACCACATGACACAAAAAATTGATGTTTATCTATGTTTTTTAATATTTACTTTTAAATTAAATTTGATTTATAATCTACAGTTTGATACCAAACTTATTCACCTAAATTCATGAAATAGTAGTTCAATAAAATTTTGAATGCGAGTCAACAAATGGGGTGACATGGCCTTTCACCTGTGACCCATCTTGAAAGAGTTAACATGCTGTAAATGTATTTCATGCTGCTATGTACTTTTGGACACACGAGCAATGTTAAACCTAGATAGATTTTGGTAAATATGACCACAAACCTACAAAAATATTTAAACAATTTAAGAATTTGTTTAATTCCTGCTGTTATCTAATTGATCCCCCAAAAATGCCCGAAGCTGCAGTGGAGTATCTTGGACAATTCCTACTAATACCCAAAATGATCATCTTTCATTTTATGAATATAAATGTCAAAAATAATAAACTTTGGTTTTATCGTTTTAGAGAAACATATAATGAAATGTTTATGCTAACTTATTAAATTATTTTGCAAAATGTTGTTCACATAAGCAGTATTAGATGTTTGAAGCTGTATTTTACTAGAAGGTAAGCTCTTTTTTGAAGATATCATTGATTAGCAACATATACAAATACTTGGCTTTATTATTATTATTATTATTATAATGTAAAAGTTTCTGAATGTCACACACTGAAAAATCCTTTTAAATGAAAAACAAAATTAATTCTAACTGTTTCTGCTGTTTACTGTGATCTTTTATCTACACTATATTATGTTATAGATAACTAACCATCTTTGTTGATAAATTGAATATAAGATTTTCAAGTATTACATAATTCATAAATTTTAAATTTTTTGTTTTATGTATATAAATAGTTTTTGTTTCTTGACAATTATTCTGTCCAAAATACTTACTTAATATTATTTTCTTGTGACTTTCTGCTTACATTAGGACACAATCACAAAAGTATTTCAGGTAGGAAGCATTGTTTAGGTTTTCCTGTTGTGCAAATTAACTTGAGTTTATGTGAAAAGAGCATGAAGAAAACGTTTTGGAGCATCCTGTTTAAATATTTAGCCAAGTGTCTGTTCATGTCAGAAAGCATGATCTTGTAAATTGTTTCATAATTAATATAACTTCTAAATCATCATTTTGACTTTAAACTGTCAGTGATAACATTTTAATTTTGAGATAGTTAGTTAAAATAAACGAAAAATTATGAAATTATATTTCTGTTTTTCCTTGATTGGGATAATATTTGTTTATTTAAAAATTCCAGTTAGTGTTAGCTGTTGCATTGTGCATAATAATACATAGTATTAATATTTTCTAATATTTTAAACCACTACAAAACACTCATAACAGCTTTCCTTTTTTTGGCAGTACTTAGCACTTATGTAACATTTAAATTTTTTGCTGATCTTTATCAAGATAAGGTAATCAGAAATAAATGGAACTTCACCTTTGAAATATATTTTTAAGTAATTGTACAGTCTTGTATTTATTCTTAATTGTTATAGTAAATGAGTAACTATCTCTTGCACTAGTATAGTAGTAATGTAACAAACTGTGGTGGTGATAGCAATACCATAACTCTTAATTATGGAATTGAAGCAATATTGAAACTGTTTCTTGTAGTGATAGCATTAGTAATTTATAGTAAGGCTGGTTGTACCTTTCCAAATTGAATGATTCTATTTCGGTGTTTAATTCATTTGCTTCCAGGTGAACCTTGTTTTTTTTTAGTTGGACTGCTCATCTCTTGACATTCCTAAATTTTTTATTTCCTTTAGAAATACTTCTGCTGCTCTTAATTGTGATACTGAAAAATTGACACAAGCTTTTTCTGGGAATTTTAATATAGTTCTCAGCTACTGGGAAATTGTTATTATACTTGAGGATTTTTTTCTTCATACTGAAGTGTTTTTATTGTTGTTAGTTTTCCTTTAATTGGTTTTTCATTTTATTCTCAAAGGGCCTTTTTTTAAATTTTTTTGCTATGTAAAGACTTTTTGAGGAGAATAGATGCCTACTATAACTCTCCTTGTTGGCAGTTCAGTTTGCTTGTTTATTGTTTCATTTCACTTTTTAGTTGGATCTTATAGCTTTAATTAGCTAAAGAATTTTATGAAATCCATGCATCTCCCTTTCCACAGAACTCAATTAATAAGGGTGTTTCTTCCTTCCTATGGTTTTATAATAAGTCCTTTTGTAAGCATGCGTTCTTTATGACTTTAGTTTTGTGATTTGTTTTCAGTAGAATGTTTAGATTCTATCTTGTTTATTTCCCTTTACAATCTTCTCATACCTGTCCTATAAATCATGCATCTCTTTCTGAAGCTAGGGGTTATTCTTTACTTCTCTCTTCTGTTTTATCACTAGAGATAAGGAAATACAAGTATGTTAATATCTTTCCTTCTCTTTAAATTGTTGAGTTTATTTGAAGTCAGGATATTAGCCATGATTTTAAAATTACCCATGTAAATGCTTTGAAGAAGTGAAGGCTTCAGAAGCACATTACCTAAGAAAATCTTAGGTGCTTTTAGGTGTTTATTAACAGAATACACCATTTAACTCATGAGTTCTTATTATTGCACAAGCAAATGTAGCAAAATATCTTTGTTTTTGTAAGAATAAATAATTGTTGTTTAAATGGTATATTACTTTTATTACTAATTAAATACCCAAGGTCTGCGAGTAAAGCAATAACAAATATTGTTATCTAGCATGGCAAAGCTAATAGTGAGGTTCAGGGTGACTGATTATTCTTTGTCAGCTTTGTCATGTTTTTTTTTTAATGATTTATAGCCATAAGTGGTGACTGATGTAATCAGCAAAACAAAATATCAGTTAATAAATATCAATCTCATTGAAAATGATTGGACATATAAAATGGAATGCTATGATCAATGATAAAAAAATTAAATTCTAAGATGAAAAGAAGTATTTTTAATGTGTTTTGGAAAACAGGGTCTCAAAACAAAATTTAGGAAATTTCACAAGCTAAAATATGTTAGACTTACCAAGATAAATTATATTAATTTGTTTAAGCTAGAACTAGATACCATTTAATAAGTTTATCCAAAGTTTCATGCAATTAGGTTAATTACTGCATCAATGAGAAGACAAAATAAGGATATCAGTGACGTGACATCTCTCCAATCTGTACAGGTCATTATAACTTCCAGTCTTTCATGAAATTAAGTATGATTTCAAATCAACTTGGAAATTACTACTTAACTCAATCTTTGTCACTGGATTCTATGAATGCTGAAGCATCTTCAGTTGAAGTGCTGATTGACATGAGTGCTTGTAAATAATACACAAGAGAACAACAGTAGGAATCAAATACTGCATTAAATTGTAAAGGACAAAGATATTTTCCATTTTATGTATTGTAGACAAACACATTTTGGTTTTGATAAAATTAATTTAATATTTTTGCCCATCTTTTCAAGTTTTTACCTGTTTTGATAGATAACTGCCATCCGAACGATTCGTGGATGGATTGCTGGCAAAAAGCCTGGTGAATGTAGAGATACACCATTAAGTATTAAGTAAATTAACTTTCAATATATCCCTTTACCTTTCTTGTATTCTATACATGCTTGTTTATTGTTTTTTTTCTCTTTTATGCAAGATATTTAAGTGGTAATCAGAAAATGTTCCAGATAATAAGTCTGTGACTATAGCATTTTGTGGAGGAATATTATTATGAATTTATGGTTTTAGATTTTTAATGTTTTGATATTTGAAATTCAATTGTACAACATAGTGATAAATTAAGATATTATATTTTCTACGGACTTATTTTTTAATAAGCTTTTTATCCTTTATATAAGTTTTGTGAGTTACTTTAGTACAGGAAATATTTTTTTTACTGTTGTTTCTGTTACCAAAGGTGAATTAGGATAAAAATGAGGAATACAATTCAGTAATGAAGCATGCTGGCTATAAAGTTTCAAGCACAAGCTTTTCAGCTATGTTTACCTATTTGTCTATCTGATTTTCATTTTAATATAAACTCTAAAATGTTTGCATGTGCAAAGCTATTACTTCTAAGCAAATACATTTAAAAAAGTGTACATAAATGTACAAAATATCAAACTGACTTTGAAATGGAAATTGACTGTATATTTCAGATCACTACATTGCAAGCCATCCTTCTTATTTTTGTAGGCTTAATAAATGTATGTGTACTTTAAATGTTGTGTTGTTTATATTCAACATCCCAAGAACACTAAACTGTGATGAAATATTCTATTGAGATGTGTTTACTGCATGAATTAGTTTAATTTCAAGTGTAACAATGGATTTTTAAAAATGTTATTTTTTATTGATGTATTTCTTATGTTCAAATTAGTGTAATTATTTTTGTAAATCAGAAAATTTAGTTTTATACATGTTCCTTATTTTTACTAAAGTGCTTAGAATTTGTGCACATTGTCTTTTTTTCATTCATACTAAAATGTAAATAGTTTTAAAGAAATTTACATTTTTCATCTCATTTTTATACTTTAATCTCAATTATTTTTATTTTCTTAAAACATATAGGGCAAAATAATTGGGATTTTTCAAAACTTTAGTGAAGAAAAGTAAAGTTGCTACTTTTCTTCAAATAAATATTTTGAGTCAGTGACATTGCTATAATAATTTTAAATAACAACTTGAAAGGTAAGATATACTTAACTAGAAATAAAATATATGACTTCATTTTTCAGAAAGCACAAAGTTTAGGAATTCATCGCACTGCACATGCTGGAGAGGGAGGACCAGCTGCTAATGTTGCTCGAGCAATCAAGGAGTTACAAGTGGAAAGAATAGGACATGGCTACCATTCTATAGATGACGAAGAAATCTATAACCAAGTATTAAACCTTGACATTCATTTAGAAGCTTGTCCATACTCTAGCTATTTAACTGGATCTGTGCCACTAACTACTCTGAAACATCCAATCATTAGGTATGTTTAATAGTTGTGTGATGATTAACTAGAATAAGTAAAGACTCGTTGTTAGAGTCAAATGACTTGGCATTTAATTAAGAATTTTCATAGTTGATTATAATCAATTATTTTTCAGGGATAAATTGTTTCTATTTTTCTTATAACTGCTTCTCAACCTCACTGACAAGAAACGTTACTTTTATGTGATTTATATGGACATTAACATTGGTTATAAGTCACCAAACTCTTTCACCATATTTGTGAAAGACTTTTGAAAACAAAAAATTAGCTTCATGCTTGCTGGCTTTAGAATTTATAGATCCATTGCATAACTGAAGATTTTTATTTGTTCCAATGTTTTAGATATGCCGAGGATAATGCCAACTTTTCTATTAATAAGGATGATTCCACTATTACTGGTACTACCTTAGATGATGAATATGAACTACTTCAATGCTTGGGACTCAGAGAAGTTCATTTTGTTCGTGCAGTAAGTATAATGATTTTATCCCTTGCAGTAAGAAAAATTACACAGTTTCAGCTTAAACTATAAAAACTGGTTAAATATTAATAATTGTATTCAGTTAATATAAAACTTTTGCACATGATGTTACACACTTACAGTCAGAGGAATATGATGCCGTATTAGGTGGAAACAAATGATGAGGATGGATCAGAATCTGTCATTTTATACAATACTTGTAATCTCCAGTGACCCAGTTAGATGAGATAAACAGATCACAGCTATATGTTGAAAGAATTATAAGAGTTTATCACTATGCAAGTTTGCCATTCAGTTGTACCTTTCTCTTAGATAATTGAAAACTAAGCAATCATTTATCGACTCTTTTTCCCTACAGGCACCCTTTTCTGCACATGTCACAACCTTTTTACAGATGTACATTCCAAGTTTGATTAAAATACTTTTTTTATCAATGTTTACAAATACTGGCATCAAAATGTAGCTAATAAATGAAATTTTAACCTTATCTCTATGGTTCTTCCTATGATCACAGGTCAAAGGCTGTGTCATCGCATTTCTGGACTCGCATTCAACATTTTATTGAACTACTCTTTTATGTATGCATGTCAATAAGTTTGGTATCAAATTGTAGATTATAATTTAGATGTTAGTATTATACATTAGTTATTATTTAAGTTAAAAGTATATATATGAAAAATAATCCTAAATATTTGATTTTTGTGTATCATGTGGTATGTTGAATGCAGCATTGGTTCAAATTAGATGTTTGTGATGTCCAACTTTAAAGTCTATAGTTTCTTACGAATTAGAATATCAAATTACTGATATTGAGAAGCTAGAACCTCCTTTCTTTTCTATTTTTTGAGATATTAATATATTTAGTGAATTAACCAAGGTGACCCCATCCACCTCTTCCATTTTTGAAAATATTTGCTTACGTACACCTACTTCATTCAGTGACATGTGTATACCCAATCAACAGGTCAGAATGTCCCCCTAGTGGTTTTCTCAGCCTCTGAGAGGTATTTACATGGGAAACCCTTTCTTTTCATGGTAGATTCCAAGCGTTAAGGTAAAACAGTAGTGAGCTCGAAAAAATCATATTTTTTTAGACTCAAATATAGCATAGTTACTAAGCTTGATAAATTTCATGGAAAATGATGATAGTTTTAGGTCATTGTCTGCTTTTTACCTGTTATTATTCTGTGTTCTTAGGTGCATTATTTAATTCAAAAAATATTTATTGTAGTTGTACCATTAGTATAAAAAAAGTAGGCTTAAGGTTTATTGACAGTCAACAGCAAAAAAAAGGCCCACTGTGCTTCTTGTTTTTCATGTGTATTCTTTATTTATTATTATAAAAGTAACTAAAATGTAAAAATTAGAAAATTATTGGGTTAAATTAGTTAAGATAATGAAAATAATAATAATAATATAAGTTCTTCATGAGGTATGTTTGCAAGCAGCTCATGCATTACGTAATTTGATATGGTAACTTGAACTGCATATTCACCAAATGATTTACAACTTATATGGTTGGGTTATTAATTAGACATGTTGAAAGGGTAATAAAAAAAATTTAAATTAAGTATAAATAAATGCATACTGTTACAAGCTTTAAGATATTTAGGATAAAAAGTTGTGGTTTTCTGTTACTATTTACAGTCATTCCATAAAGAAAAAAAAGGTAACTTAGATTTATTTCCTAATGTTTTATGGTGGTTACAAGGTTGGTCAAATTGACCAACCCCATATAGAGGTATCATATAGAAAATAACAGATAAAATATAAAGTTTTTCTGAAAAACACTTTTGATATTTATTTAGGAGATTTTAAGGATTATGCAAATTAAATATGAACATTTTCAGATGAAGGAAAGTATTTTTAATCTTAACATGAAAATCACTTTGCTCATAGAGCAGTCAACACTCTGACTCCATATAATTACAGACAAAATTTTAATAGAAATCCTTAATTTAACATTCTGATTTTTTTGTCTTCAAAAGACTTTTAATATTTACTGAAAGGTTACTAAATTTTATGAAGATACATTCAGTATTTTCAGAGTTATAGTATGTGTACCACCATGTTATAATCACTTTGTTATAGTCAAGCCAGTGAATAGAGAAAATATGTTTTTCATTATTTAGCATGTACTTAAGAATTTCAAACTGGTATTATGTATTTTAAATTCATATATGTCGGTTTTATATATTTTGTGATAATAAAGTACAATTTATCAGGAAGATAAAATTTGTGTTTCTTCTTTAGGAAAACTGTTATCATGCATGTATTTTAAATTTATCAATTTTAATATTACATAATGTACTCCTTATTGCCATAGGAAGCAATTTTGGAGTGGTCAGGCCATTGCTAATTCTGGGGGGTCTGGGAGCATATCTTCAAAAAGTTTTTGAAAATCTAATGTTATGAGATTAAATCTGGAGCCATTTAAACTAAAAATATTGCATACACACAACGTAATATATTGAATTAAAAGAAGCAAATTTTAATACATAAAACTGGTTAGGTTATGGCCTGACTGGTCTTACTGCTTTCTAGAGCCCTGCTTCTACATGGAATAATATAATATATATGTACCATGAATTTCATTTATTTCTGTAGGTTGTACTTCAGAATTGATAAACCATTGAAATAAATTATGAAATGAATTCCATTCAGTGATGGTAAAGTTCAAATTACACTGTTTGTAAGATATGTGGATCAAAATTACAAACATTTTATGTAAAATGTGTTTCAGAATTTTTCTTTAAAAGAGTGTAATATAATAAAAAGTAAACATTTTTGTGTAAACATCGCATCAGATATCATTAGAGAACTAAAGTAATGTATAAAAGTATCAAATAATATGTATATCAAATATCACAAAGCTTAAGTTTTCTTTTTTTTAATTTAACTTTCAACTACTGTTTTTTTTTGGAAGAGGGTATTACTTTACTTTAGAGTGACCTAGGCATTCATGATGAAAATATTTTATGGAACAAGTGTCAGAGTTGCATGTAATAATTTTTGTTGGCTCCTAATTTTGGCAGTAGCAAATAACTGTGGGATTAGATGGTAAATTTTCAACTAATACATTGGCTGGTAAGAATATTGCGGTCTAGTGAAAAAAACAGTTAGGCTTCATGAGCTTTGACTTGGTTGTACTTTTGTTTTCATATTGAAGTATTTTTCATCCCCGAGTGTCGAATTTGTATAAATTGGGATTCTTGAAAAACCAACTATAAAAGTCAGTGCAGGATGTCTGAAAAGTCTGGAACCATTGAATTGGCAAACATGGTCCCCAAAATTTCAAGACTTGACTCCCATGAATTTCTTTTTCTGGGGACAGTTCAAGGCATGTGTACAAAGAGAAGATCAGGGACACACAACATCTGAAACAGTGGATTTGTGATGAGTTTTCTACCTTTGACAATGACATGAATATGCTTCACAGTGTTCAAAGAGAATGGAAATACAATCTTCTAATTTACAAGGACACCACTTGGAACACATTTTGTAAAATTCATTGAAGTGTCTATGGTTCCAGATTTTTTGGACGCCCTATAGACACCTAGTATTTTATAAGCCTTCTAAGTCTTTCAAGTGTAAGTTAATGTTGAAATTATTACAGTTGTTGGTGTCTGTATACTGAAATCCTGTTTGTTTCAGACATTCTTGAACAGTGCTTTAGGAGCAAATATGGGTCATTTATTTCCATCAAAGAAATCTTTTCTGAGTGATGTGTGCTAAATTCTTTATTTAGATTAATTTAATGTAAATTTATTGAATTTTTCAGTGATACTGTGCTTGTTGAGAGACCTTTATCAGTGAAATCATGCTATTAATTTACATCCATCGTGGTGCAACAAATTGATGTCATGTGACTTAAGTCACATGCTTACGTCAGTTTTATAGAAGCTATGTTTTGTTTAGGAAAAATAGTAATCATTATAGATTATGACTCTTACGAGAAAAACCTTTTATACTTAATTATAGAAGGATTTAGTTGAAATTCCAGAATTACCCTCTTTGTTTTCTACATGGTGATCACCACTTCAGTCCCGGCTATGTTGTTTTTTGCTTCTCCTTTTTAATAAAATTTCTATTTTCTTGTATGTTTTTGCTGTAAATAAATACCTAGTCTTATGTATAAATTTTGTTGTCATTGTAATTGCTTCAAATTTTGGTACGTTTTATGCTAAAACAATAAAACAACAAGTTTCATTGGTAGCCCATTATGGACAGTGATTTATGCCAGACAAAATGTGGATCTGGTAGTCCATTTTTTACTCACCTCTTTTGTAACATGTAATGGACCAAGATAAATGTCAACAAAACATTGCAGTCACACTTGGTGTTTCATTGTATTGATTAGGCTTCATTACAAATTTAGGTAGTTAACTGGGCCAAGTAATGCATACAAAGAGCATATTCAACACAGATTTGATTTTTTAGGTCCAGCCTTTATTAAGGGTTTTGATATTATAAGAAAACTCTGCTGAGCACTAATTTCCATTTAAAATCCCCTCTCCCCCAAAAAGAGATTAAGTGATTGTGTTCATGAATAACAAAAACATCAGCAGTCAAATTTGGTATTTCATAATATGTAGTAGATATAATTTTTCATGTATTTTGTGTTCTTATAAAGCCTGGGCCCATGTGCATTAGAAGCATAAACTCTTTATTCTTGGAGATATTATTTAACTGTAATATATAGTATGATATCATTGGAAAAATAGGTCTTCCTTCTAAAAACACTTGGGTAACAGGTTTCTTCAGTTAGTGTTAATCTACATTATCTCTTAAGTGCATTATAGTATATCGTTTAGTGATAAATGTATTATACTATATCTAAATATATCCTGCAAAGGCAGTCCTTTTAAGTGATATAAATATTTTACTTAACACAGTGACTCCAGAGCTATATTTTATTCTATCTTTTGATACTTTTTCAGAATTTCAATGCTGCTCGTTCTGCATTCTTACCAGAGGATGAGAAAGAAGAACTACTAAACCATTTAAAAAAGATGTATGGTAATATTGTTACTAAAAAGTAATGTATAAGAACATTATTGTTTTTATGGAATTTGTTATTCCAAGGCAAGCAAATGTTTATTAGCTGTCATGTTATCCTATAGGTGTGTAAAGAAAATATTCAAATTTTACTTTTTTTATGATTTGAAGAACATGGTGTTTTTTCATTTAATAAGATTGTGAGTTTTACAACTTGAATTAAAAATACATGTTATACTCTGGTACCGTTTAATATATTTTGATTTGCAGTTTTGTGCAAAGTTATCATTCCACTAGCTTTGCATGTTTAAAGATTTATTGCTTGAATATATATGTCTCGTATTTTATTATTTGTATGTAATGTTTATTTTGCTTTTTAAAATTATTTCACAGTTTTAAGCTACTTTTAAGTAGACCTGGTGATTTAACTGATTACTCATGAGCAGCAATTACATCAATTAGTATCACATAAACTAAATTAATTGAAATTAGTATTTTTTGAGTATTACTGTTTTTGATTATCCCAACAGCCAATTAATTGAAGCTATGCTATAATTGATTATCATGGAAGTAATCAAAAATTCAAAATAAGGGTTTCTAATTAGTATTATTTTTGATTATTTATACTATCCAAATAATTGAAATATTGCTATTATGTTTGTCAGTTCTTAAGTACAAAGTTACATAATGGGCTATCTGTGCTCTGCCCAATTTTAGCCTCAATTTTTTTTTTTACTCCAACATTTTTCAGTTTTGATGAATCGAGGGGGTGGGGGTAGAGCAAAGCTACTAAGGCTATCTATCAGCCACAGTCACTAATATACAAGTACTAATTAGAATGAAGGCAAATGAATGGTATTACCAATTAGCAAATTTGTTTTCACCATAGTTATAGGAACACTGTACTAGTCAATTAATGGGGCTGTTGATTAATCTATTAGCAAATATTACTAATTGCTCGGTTATACTTTAAAGTGAAGCTAAGAGAGAATTGGCACAGTTTGTGTGAAGTACATCGAATTCACAACAATTCTCTTCAGTATTACTAAAAAAAAGTTATATATATGATTACTAGTTAGCATTCAATGTATGTCTGAAAAAAATATGTCACTGAAGGCTTTAAATTTAAAATTCTTAATTTTTTTTGTTTTTAGTATTTTAATGTCCAGTTAGATTTTACATGTACTCCCACTGTGATTGTAATATATATAATTACTTAAAAGCTTTAATTATGTTCCTTGTTTAGTGCAAACTTCAGCTGGACTACTAAATATCCATTTTAAAGTTATTCACTTATAAAAAGTTGAGGTGAGCTGATAAGAAGTTAGATACTTGAAAAGATTTTAAACTAACTTGGTTTGTATTCTACTGGATGTGTCTCACCAAGATTTTTATTGCTGTTAAGTTCCTATACATTTATAATGGTATTAAGTTAATGAAATAGTCTATTGAGAAATATGAAGTTGTTATTATTGAGTAGTAATTACTTGAACTAGACTGAAATGTCTATTTTTTTAACTGAACTTGTAATTATATGTATATTAAACACATCATTTATTGACCAGTTTGAAAACAATTACAAGTTTATTGCAATAAAGTTTATGTTTTGTATTATTAGGAGAGTATCTTGAACTGGATAATTATTTTTGTTGACTTGATCAATATAAATTTACATTTATTAAACAATACAATCAGTTTGACTGACTGAATAATTCTTTCAATAAAAAATTCCATTAAATGAAGGTATGCATTCAGAGCTGTTTGAAATGTTTAATTAGAGGATAAGATATGGCCAAGCCCCCCCGTGGCACAGCGGTATGTCTGCGGACTTACAATGCTAGAAACCAGGTTTCGATACCCGTGGTGGGCAGAGCACAGATAGCCCTTGTGTAGCTTTGTGCATAATTAAAAACAAACAAGATATGGCCAGTTTAATTTATACATTAATTTTAAAAACAAATTTTTATTAGTAGAGGTTTAGCTAACAGGTACACAAACTTTCTGTCTTTCCAAGAATAAGAAAGATTGTTTGTTTGTTTGTAATTAAGCACAAAACTACACAATGGGCTATCTGTGCTCTGCCCACTATGGGTATTGAAACCCGGATTCTACTGTTGTTAGTCCGCAGACATACCGCTGTGCCACTGGGGGCAATAAGAAAGATGTATTTGTATACATTTTTTTTTTTCTATTTTCATCATATTAACTAGTTACTCCAAAATTTGTCTTTTGAGTTCACTCATTTTTGAAGTACCTGTTTATAGAGACAATTTAATACTGTGTAGGTGATAAGGTGTTACCAAAAATAATGTAAAGCTAAAATGTTAGACTTCAAAATAATTGAAAGAAAATGTATGGTAATGTTAATTTTTTTAATTAATAAACTAGCAGTGATCTAGATATTCCATCATGTACTACAAGCTTTGAAATAAAGGAATCACTTCCTTCATTGCACATCAAGCTTTTTATTGCAAAATGTTTCTTTTTGTTGTGAAAAATTAAAATTATTTAAATATAAACATTTCTAGATTTTGTACTTTTGGATAAAATGACATGTAAAGTTCACATTAGCTTTTCTGTTTGTTTTTGATACCATTTGTAATAATGCTAAAGAATTATGTTGTGAACTTAAGTAAATTGGTAGCGAAATTGTTTACAAATAAGGCTCTGATTTGAGATTGAATTCTGACTTTCAAACTTATTTAAACTATAATGTCGTGTCTGATCTTAAACTTTGTGATAAACTTACAAAATTGTGATGATGTTAATTATATTTATTCCAATAAGTTAAAGTGTTTTGTAAATGTAAAACATAATTTACTTGTACCTTTTTGTAATAAACTAATATGTTAACATTATGAGAAATAAATGTGTGATAGAAGCTACTACATGGTATGGTATAATTTGTTGAGTTTCTTACTTTTGTATGTACAATTCTTACATGTAGTATGTTAGATGCAGACATGTTTCAGCTAATGTATCTAATGCATGTACATGTACTGTTATTACCATCACCTGATTTTGTAAAGGAAAGGAACAAATTTTTATCGTTAATAGGTTATACTATTATTATTTGCTTGTCTCATACAACAAACTTTCTGTCTTTCCAAGAATAAGAAAGATATACTTGTATAGATTATTTCTTTTCTATTTTCATCATATTAACCTGTTACTCTAAAATTTATGTATCTCATTTTTTTTAAATATCTGGTTGGGAAATATGTTGAATTCACAACAATATTCATCACTATTACTATAAAAACAGTGATACATATGATTATTATTTAGCACTCAATATTTGGTTTTGGTTATTAGAAGAAGCTTAATTTTAATAAATATTATCTTTGAAACTGTACAGTTTTATTTAGTAATTTTGTTACTGCTTGTGAAGTGGCTGTTTTATTGTATATTGATTGAAATATGATGTTGAAATGTATAATTATTTTAACAGGGATGTTTTACATAATTAAATCATATAACTTTTAAAGCTTGAGGATTATTATTTTTTCTTGTATATGAACTTAAGTGTCAAATTGTCCAAAATCAGTGATAGATTTCTGTACTATGTTAAGCTTCCCAAATGCGTGAAATACTATTTTAGTTTTGAATAGTAATTTTTTCATCTAAAGTTGATCATTATTTTTTATTTTGATGTTTGAAAAAAAAAAAAGATTTTTAATCAAATTATACACCTTTTAAACTTTTACTAATTGTCATCATCTTAAAGCTTTACTTAATTTCACCTACATAATTCAAAATGAAATTGTTTGTGTGTGTAATATTTATTTATAGGTAATTTGCCAGTTTTATGTCAACGATGTTAAAAGAAAAAATAATAATGATATATATATATCACAGGATGTGTATTGATTTTAATATCTTAACACATATAGAGTATTAATAATATAGGTTAAAGACTAAATCAAAAGAAAATGTACTTCTTTTGTACATTTTTACACAAATATTTTAATGATTATTTTGATGGCAGAAAGTAGTTTGTATATTTCCATCTATAGAACTTTCATTGACATCCCACCCAAATAATGGAAAAGAAAGCCAGCATAATATAATGCTACAATTATCTAACTTTGTAATATAGTCTATGACATGAATTCAAAAAAAGTGATGGAATTTTGAATATCATTTACTCTTCATCACCACTATTTAACTCACATTTGTAGTACCAACATTTTGGAAAAGATGTCTATTTTGCATTACCGAGTGATGCCAAGTCAGCAATTATCATGAAACAGGTGAAATTTTATTATTTTTGAAATTACTCAATTCTTGAATCTCCTCAAATTGAAAAACTGCTTTTTTAGTGTTTAATATTAAGCTCTGCCCAGAGCAAGCTATATACTTAGAGAAAAACTTAAAATCAACCTGACAATAAGTATAGCAAATTAAGTATACATTTCTTGTGTTACTACTTATAAAGATTAGAAAGCTTTGTTTCATCAGGTGGATACCCTCACTGTTAATGGTACTTTTGGTGTACATGGGTGGCATTAGAAGGGTTCTTGTTTTGGACCATGTATTTTGTATTTTCTTTGTCTATACATCATGAAGAGCTCTCAGCAATTTATGAATAGAAAATGTCTGGGATGTTTTTTTTTTTCATTGCATACATTATTGACATGAGTTATTTTTCTCTTCATGTTAAACAAATACAAGATAGCAGTGTAATATACCCAGAGAGCCTAGATCTGTCTAAAGCAGTGACTTCCAAACTGTGTGTGTGATGGCAAGCTGCTAGGAGTATCGTGAAAGTTTCACCAAATGAACAATAATTAAGAACATAAAAAAAAATATTGCTTGTGGCAGTAGGTGTGTCACAAATCATAATAAGTGGATTAGGTGTCATCATTGAAAAAAAAATGTATTGAAACCACTGGTATAAAGCCAATAGAGTGTAAGCATACTATATGCAAAAATACCTTCTTTAGGGATTAGCTCTCAGTGGGATAATGTCTGCCTGTACATTCCTATGTTTATCTGCATGTTTTTTAAATTGGCATCTTCCAATTTGTCCATTATTTTGACTGTCTCTTTGGATCTACATGTCCCCTCTTCAATGGATAGTGGAGCAGTTGGTTTTAGAGTCAGGGGTTTGAGAATGAGGAGTTTCACAGTAGTGTTTACATATTGTACTTGTTGTGTGAGATAAGCAAAGAATAGTAGTATAATCTATTAATGATAAAAATTTGTTCTTATCCTTTACAAAACCTGGTGGTGGTAATAGAGCACATGTACATGCATTAACTGAAACATGTCTGAATTTAACATAGATTCATGTGCAAGTACCTTGACTAATAAGTTTGTTCAAGTGTCTTTGCCATAAGGAAGGTATATTTGAAAAGCTGGCCCTGTTCTTTTGTAGTATATTCAGGTGAAACTGATTTCCTCAATTAGTACTATATAACTGGAGGATTGGCAGTACTGAATGTAGCTAAATAAACGGAGTTTGAGCAAAGAATAAATAGACTAGACATAATGTGTAACACACAATGAAAACAGTCTTTATTAATTTCCAAAGACACTAAACACTGTGTGTACTTGCTTGTGGCTGCTGAATGTTTGCTTTTCACTGGATTCGTCAATTAACTAAACTGGCGTCTTCCCTTGAGATGTATTCCTGCTAACAAATTTGGGATCCAGTACATGAATGCTTAAATCTAATGTTTCTTACTTAACAGGAAGTGTTGGATTTACTCAAAGCAACCAGCATTACCTGTGTGATTGGTCATTCTCATTCAAACATAGAGAAATCCATAACCTCCAAATATCTTATGTCTTACTAGAGGACATTGTTGTTTACTTTTTTGTACAATGTGTAGTATTCCAGTCATGTCTCCCGTAGGCAGAATAGGTGTGACTTCAACAGAATGACTTGGAACAAAAGCAACTAAGATGAAATCAACGAGTTTCGTGGCCATGTCTTATGTGAAAAATGCATAGACTTGTAATAAAATAAATATTTTGAAACATTATAGATTGAAATGAGAAGGTAATAAATGCAAGGTATACCTATATACCACTTTTTCCACTCTTCTCAACGTTGTTTGCACTTGCACCCTGGTTAAAGAGCGTGTTAACTTTTTTTCGACCTTGTAATCACTTGTACATAACATGGGTACAAGTACTCACTCAAAAATCATTTAATTTACATGGAAACCTAAAATATGGTTCAATAATTTAAAATCCTTTAATAAAGAAAAATGTAATCCAACAAAAATTTAATACAAAATAAAACAATCGTAATTTAAATGTAAAGTACAATCCCTTTAGCCATTTATAGATACATCAAAAACCCTGAGAAATATAACGACCGTTATCTTTACACGTGATGGACGAACATACATGTACGTAAAGCTTTCCTGTAATTGTTATTAACGGACAGGCTTGTTTCTGACTTGAAAAAGAACTTTTCTCGAAACGTCACCAAGGGAATAAAATACAACAGTTTTTAAGGTGATTTATCTCCAAACTTCTAATATCTTTATTTTATCGCCTTCGTATTTTTCAACTTGTATACATTGATATGCAAGTTTAAGTATAACATGTAGAATGGTATCTATCAATATTCGTAAATATTGACTAGAAAAATCTATGGACACAGCAAATAGCCCCGTGTGGCTTGCTATAAGAAAAAATACGTACACAAATAATACGCTTATAAATCAAAAATCTAATTTTTTTAATAGTGTTACGTCTCCGTTTGTTAATTAACTTTCTGTAACTTCGTTCCGACGAAACTTTAGCGACACAAGTTCTTTACTTAATAAAACTGGTTTATTCTTTCCGAATACAACTTTACCGATACACTCAACTTCAACAATCGCTATAACAACGAACGTGCTCAATAATACTCCTGACTGCAGATCAATTACTCACTGTCTACACACACATTACAATATCCTCCCGTCACGTTGTCACCCTCTTTTATATACCAGTCTACCCTATATCTAGTAAATGCTAGAGCATTCGCCAAGGTACAGGATAGTTCTAGAAATGTGGCGTGACACTAGTCATGTGACTTTGCTGACGCAACAATATTGTTGGCCACGTGAGTTATAGCGTTTGTTATAGAGCGACTGTTGAAATTAAGTGTATCGCAAAGTTGTATTCGGAAAGAAGAAACCAGTTTTATTTAAGAAAGGACTTGTGCCGCTAAAGTTTCGTCGGAACGAATTTACGGAAAATTAACTAACGAACGGAGACGTAACAGTATATAGTAGCCCAAGAGATGGCAGTGAGTATTGTTGACTAGCTGCTTTCTTCCTAACCAATCAACTCAAAATTATAGACAAATTAGACTTTGTGTAGCTTTCAGCAAAAATTCTCAAATAAACTTGAAACTCAAGCATTATTTCGATTTGTACCACTATTTTTTGTGTAGCAGTCGCATAATCAACATTAACTTCAAAACTGATATTTTCTATTACATAATAATTATATTTTTTTGCTATAACATCTTTATAACAGTTTTTCTTAATAACATGCCGTATATTTTTAAGTCTGCATTTCTTTTTTTTTTCCGGTTTTGATATCTAAAGTTAAATTCCGTTTTGTTCAGTATTTTGCTTTGAAACATATCTGAAAGATAATAATGATCGGACCCGGAGGTTTAGTGTCAGTTTTTTTTTTTTTGTTGTTGTTATTGGTGGTCAGAAATTTCACAAGTTTTTTATATTATTCGATGTTTTTTAGAATATACTAAAAAAGGTATTCTGTTGTACAGAGTAATTTCGTTTATCTCCTTATTCATGTCGCACCTTTTCTTGTAGTTTAATATTTATTGTTAAAAAAGGGTATGCCGTATGTTGGGAAGTGTTGGACTCTGTAAGTAAAAACGAAGTTAATTTTTGTTGTGCATAGGTAATTTGATTTTCTACATTTATTGACTTTTTTTAATTGCAAATCATTGTTACAGTGTCAGATGCGTGACAACCAACGTGAACTTAAACTTATTTTAACGTGTTTTTTTTTCTTTCAGCAGTTGCAGACCAAATTGATTGCAAATGTAATTTCCAAATTCAATACTTGTTTAGTTGTTACTGTTACTCACTGTGTAGTCAGATGCATTGAAGTGTCATTATTACTATTATTATTAGTGCAAGATAAATAAAAAATTGGAATTCGAAAATCTGCAAATAGGGATCGTAAAAGATTAAGGAAACAAGGCTGAAGATACTGTAGTCTGTAGACATTATTTACTCAACCTAAAATTACAAACTCCTATTTTGACCCCATTCTGTTACTTAGAAGTTAGAACAGAACTTAGAAGTAGAATTGCATATGATTTGGTGGAGTCAAAGTAGGGATTTGTACTTTGAGTAAATAATGTATACAATATCTCTAGCCTTATTTCGTTATGTCCCCCCCCCCCAATAAGTTGCAGGTTTTTAAACTCCCAATTTTTTATTTGTCTTGTTTCCAGGATTTTTTATGCTCAGCTATTGGCAAGGGATTACTTGATTAAGTTGGTACAATAGCCAACTTTATACATTGTAACAATAATATAGCTAGCCAATACAATTCATGATGATTTACTGTAGCTATTGACTATTTGATCACATTAGTTCAAGATGTAAAATATTAAGCTGCAGCTGAAGATTGTCATGGAGATGTGTTTGAGAATATAGTGAGCATTTATAGCTTCTGTGTAACTAAATTATTTATAGTTAATGCATAGCAATGGATGAATATATGCCTAGACTAAGATACAACCCCCACTAAGTGCAAAAAAAAACAGTAGAAAAGCAGCCTTTTCAAATGAAACGTATACATCTAAAACATCATTTTAAAAAACTATCTTATAAAGTAATTATTTTACAAATGCATGTAATAAAATTTAATATTAGGTATATGGATTTTTGTTTTACTCCTTCACTTCATACATAGTACATAGGGGTTGGCTTCCTAAAGACATCAGTTGTATAGTGTATAAAGCATTGAGTATCTACATGTTACAGTTATCTAATGATCATCTATTATTGGCTGGTAATTCCTGTCTCACCCTGTACTTAAGTTTTTTAAAAGAACACCAGAATTTTTTAAGAAAGCTAACTTCAAGGAGTAGTGATAACATTGTTTATCATAACATAATGTTTAGGGACAACAATGATCCTATTGGTCTATCTCGACTGTCCCATCCTATAAACTAAAATAAAAATCTTAAAGCCAACCATTATCATTCATATAGTTATCAAGCTTTCTCATAAATGCACTTAAATTTATTGCCTCCACAACATCCGAATAACAATCCATTCCAGAGACCAACCACCCTATTGGAAAAATAAAACTGCAGATGACTCCTACCTTGCCAAAATTTATTTTTCTGTCCCCATTCCTACTATTCTTGCTGTTAAGTATGAAAAAAATGATGCATCAACACTCAATCCCCTTTACAATCTTAAACACCTAAATCAAATCTCTTCCAACTCTTCTTTTTTTCAAGAAAAACAGAGATCTTAATCTCTTCTCTTATGACAACCCCACTATTCTAGTAATTGTTTTCTGAATCCTTTTCAACAATTCAGTGTCCTTATTGAGGTAAGGATCCCAAGAATGAACCCAATACTCCAAATGTGTCCTAACCAGTGACCTGTACAATGAAATTGTAATCTGTTTAGACTTGTAAGTTGTATTCAGTATTTCTGTAGATACGACCTGAAATCTTATTTGCCCTGACACTGGCAACAACACACTGGTTGGCTTAAGTCTAAGAGACTGATCAACCATTACACCAAGGTCCCTGTCTTTCATTACAGTTAAGGTTATTCCCAACCAAATTATATTTATAATTCAAAATATCATAACTCACATGCATTATCTTGCATTTATTATAATTAAAACCCATATTTCATTTATTTGCCAAACTCACTTAATGATGTAAATCCTTTTGTAATGCAGCAGCATCCTCTTCACAGCTAACAACACCCAAGACCTTAATATCATCAGCAATTTAAGTAATTTATTGACCATTCCTTCATCTTTGTCATTGATGTAAATCAAAAAGAGCAAAAGTCCTAAAGTGAGCCTTAAGGTGTTGCACTCATGACATTAATCCAGTTTAACTGATCTACATTTATAATAACCTTCTGCTTTCTTCCATCCAGCCACTCTTCTATCCATTTAGCTAACTTGTATGTTAATATTTCTGCATATAACATCTAATGAAGGCTTAAGTCTGAAATGTTATGCATTGAAATGAAAGACAAAAAAGTGCTTGATAGTAGTTTATTAATATATGTTATTCTACTGCAAGCAATGTTTCCACATCCATAAGTACATTCTTTGATTTAAAAAATTAAACTTTTTATTTATAAGAACATAATTTTTTTATGTATTTCAGGTTTTTGGGTAAAGTGACAATATAAATGGCCTTTAGAACATTAGAAGAGGCAACATCTATTTCTGCTGGAGTGTTTAATCCTTTCATTCACAAATTGGAACTTGCAACTTATGACAGAGTGAAGGTAATGTTTTTTCACAATATATTGTACTATCTTGTTTCCATTTGCTGTTCATATATACATTTCTTTGCCTGAGTCAAAAATCTGATTGAATGTGTAGCAGAGGCAGGTGCAATTGGTTTTATATTCTACAAATACTTTCAGAATTAATGTTTAACATTTTCCCCAATTTTGATGACTTTTTTTTCTTTAACTAGACAGTTACAAATGTCATAAAAATAGATGGAATTTCAGAGTTCTTTGTATTCTTTTAAAAAATTCTGTTGTAACCAATCAAATGTGTTAAACATACTTTTGGTGGGAACATGCTTTGTAGTCACTGTGAGAAAAACCTATACACTGGATAGGTGCATTGAAGAAAGTGTTATTGGCCATTATTCAGTTCTTCACATTATATAGCCGTACAATAGCAGGTATAATAAATAAACTTAGTATTCCAAAAAGTGTTTAATCTCGAAATCTAAGTTCAAGGGAGGTCCAGTTCAATCTACACATTGATCAGTGTGTGTTATTGGGCTATACTAGTTTTTTTTCTCATAGTGACTACAAAGCATGTTCACACCAACAGTATGGTGGATACTTTTCACAATGATATAGGTCCAGCTTATCTCTCTTTGTTTAACTTGTGTTTTGGGTTATTGATGAGGGGTGTAATTCTTTGAAACTAGTATAACCCAATAACAGAAGTTTTTTATCATAAAAAAATAACTAAAATGTAAAAATTAGAAACTTATTAGATTAGAAAACAAAGAAAATTAAGTTTCTCAGTGAGGTATGCAAGTGAGATGTGCATGTATTACTGAATTCAGTATTTTGTTTACTGTAACATAAGCTAACCATTCACTAGGTGATTTCTCATGTTTTCATGCAGGTTTATGGTTAGACATGGTTTAATAGCAATAAAACAATAAAATTAAATGAAAATAGATGTAAACTGTTACAAGACTGAGGCTGTTTAGGATAAATAACTAATTTTCTGCTAGAGTTGGCAATCATTCTAGAAAGAAAAAAAGGAGTAATTTAGATTTTTTTTGTGATTATTACAATTTCAGTCAAATGGAGCAAACCGATATAGTTATAGGTTAGAGAAAATGACAGGTAAAATGTAGTTTTACTGAAAAAAACTTTTGATTTTCATTTAGGAGGATCTAAAGGTTATGTAAATGAAATATGAAAATTGTGAAGTGAAAAAAAGTATGTTATTCTTAACATGAAAGTCATTTTGTACCTTGACAAAAGTAAATTCAGAAGCAAATCTTTATTAGGAATTCTGTTTTTTTACGAACAACATATAAATGTTTACTAAAAGCCTACTATATTTCATGTAGATACATCAAGTAAATTCAGAACCTACAGAATATATAATAAGTATTAATTCTTCAATATGAGCCCAATCCAACAGACCAACCTTGTGCATATAGGGCTAATGATACTTCACAAAAACTCACTTCATGTGTGTGTACATGTATGTTTGAAGTGCAGTTAACAAATACTGTTTTAAAGACTTGTTTTGTATATATTTTTGTTTGCAAATTTTGAGCTTTGATAAATTTTCCATTTTATTACTGTTATTATATATTTTAAATTGACTACATTTTGCCCCAATTTGACAGCCAGAATGTACATGGTACATTCGTTACATTAAGTGGTTCATCCTTGAAACTAGGGTTATTAGAAAGTTAGTTTTATAAAGTTGTTTGATACCTTTTTACGCAGTTATTTAATATTGATTTTTCTTTTATTCTTATGCATAAATTTAGAATTAATTTATTTGATCCTTAATTTTATATGTATAGTTGATTTTCAAAATTTTTATCATGCAAGTAAAACAGTGATATAGATTTTAAGTGTCATGAAATGTTGAAAACTTGAAAGAGCTGATCAAAATTATTTTTATTCTTTAGCCATTTTAAAAATTTTCTGTGTCTATATATATATATATATGTATGTATGCATGTTTCTAGATAGTGGTGATGACTGTCACAGTTTTCCCTTTTCGACTCCTACTCCTCATGATCTTTCTCACAACTGCATGGTTTCTTGCTGTGTTTGGTGTGTATGGAATGTCCTCTGAAGAAATCAACAAAAAACCAATGTCTGGATGGAGAAAGTGAGTATCTTGTGCTCAAACAAGTGTTTTGTTTTCTAAGTAAGTTTTATAGTACCACATCTTTTCAAAACTTGTTTTTCACATGTACATCAGTTATAAATAATGTATGTGACATATATCAAAACTAACAAAATGTATCAAAGCTAATCTAGTCAATAATGATTAGTTTAAAATAGTGATAATACTAATACATTGGCTTGTTATTTTACACCTAATTCAGATATATTGATATGTAATGTTGGGGCTTGGACATTATTTTATGAAACTTGTAACTAATTTCTACATCTGAATTTTTCTAGGTCCTGTAAAAAAATTTGTTTTTCTTGGATGACATGATTTGAACAAGAAGCAGTTTCTTTGTTGTACTAAATACTACTTGAACTTGGCTAATCATTGTTAAATTTTTCTTACCTAACTGTTTTATGAGGAAAGTAAGTGAATTGAAGGAACTGGCCCATTTTCACTTTTCCTGGTTTGAGACCAGCAGACCAGTTTGAAGTAAACCACATTCTGTAGAATTCTTATATTACCAACAAAACCTACATTTGTGCAACTTGTAGATTTAGACTGTAAGCTTAACTTTATGCTGTACAATTTTATGAATTTATAATATATATATATATGTATGTGTGTGTGTATGCATGAATGTATGTGAATAGATTATCATAGTATTACGTACAAGGAATTATTTGTCCCTTCAAAATTGTCGCTATATGTACACCCCTGAGAAAACATAAAGTTTCAACTCCACCATTAATTTTTCATGAAGTCATATCTGTTCTCTTATTGAAATATTCTTAGAATGAAAAAAGTGTAAGTTAGATTTATTTTGTAATTTTTTATGGTGATTACAAAGTCTGTCAATGTGACCAACTTTGTATAGAGTTATGGTAGATTAAATAACTGAAAAAAAACGATTGAAATTTATTTAGGAGTTTAGGGGTTATGCATATGAAATTTCAAAATTTTCAGATGAAGAAATATATTTTTAATCTTAATATGGAAATCACTTTCCACTCGGACCAATCAACTCTTTGACTCGATATGTTCATGGAGAAATGTTTAATGAAAAATTCTGATTTTTTTTTGTCTACAAAAGGCTCTTAATGCTAACTGAAAGCTTGCAATATTTCGTGGAGATACACAAACATATTGGAAGTTATAGCATGAAAATATAAAGATCAATTCCAATACAGTACATTACCTCCCCTCACATAAATAGCTATTCTTGTGTTCAATGCTGCCCTCTATATGCAATTTTTTTGTATGCCACAAGCTTTGAATTCCCACGTGCCTTACAGTCAACTGGTTTAATTAAGTCTCGTGTAAATCATCATGCGACAACCCTCCACCAGTATGAGTGCTACACACACTCCTGATGCATGTGACTCCCTCTATTTGATTCTACCAAACTATCACTTCTCGTTTGGCAGTACTTGTGTCAAGACGTTTTTGTAGTGCTTTTAAAATTTTTTTCCAACTTCTGGCCTTTTTTTGTTATTACTCCAAAGTATATTATTTTTTTGTTTTCCAACAGTTAATGCCTTTTCAGATAACTTATTTTCTCTTTATCAAACAATTGTGTTTGATTGTAATTTTTACACAATGAATTCCGAAGTTCAGGTAAAAACTTTGGAGATAATACCTTCTACTAGTACTCTCACATAGGCTACAGGTGGACATGACTCATCTTTGGACATATTGGCTATCATCCTCTGTGAAATTTACTGTTTCATAAGTCAACCTGCTTCTCCTGTTCAGGGCGACAAGGATTTTGACAGCCTTATTGCTCCACCTGATTTTGCTGTGTCTTCTTATGTCCCTACTGCAGAATCAGCTAGGCCTAATATGGGTTTTTTCTAGACATGATATATTTTATCCATTTCTTCGATTTTATATGATCCCTGTTCTTTGTTACATGGGTTCATGCTGGGCATTTTGTATATCAGATGGATGAAGGTGCCAGCACGCCTCACCCTCCAAGGGCTTAGAATAAGTTTGCCTTGGCCTACTGTCAGGCTGAATGCCCATTTCTTGATTCTCAACAGTTATAATCGATTTTGGCCCTGGGGATGTGTGGACCTTGATCATCCTGTTTGTTTACCAAATGCCCGATTTTCCCACTTTCGTCTTACTGTATTGACTCTCCTATGGTACTTCTCTACCAACCACCTCTTTTCCAAGGCAATCCACAGAGATCCTGGGGGTTTTTTAAGGGATTGCCTCTCCCTGATTACCTCTAGGTTGGCACTTTTGTCTTCTCTGGCTCTAGCCTTAAACACATAGGTTCTCTGTTATTGGGATCTCTTGGCAGCCGTCTCCCAAGTTCGTTTACTGTATACTTATTTCTGGGACTTATGTCTATCACTTTTTCTACAGCAGTATGTTTTTAGTAATATTCTGGAGACTTTGGAATCCCATGTGTAGTTTGTGCACAACGATCTACCCTTTCTTCTTTAGTGGATCGTTTGTTTCATTCTGGGCCGAGACATGCCCCTATTACTTTGTCCTGTCTAGCTCCTTTCCGGTCTTTACCCATTCCTACCTGCAGGGGTTCTTCATCTCATTGTTTTATTTGACGTAGATGGACATGTCACCAACAGTGCCATTGACTACCTGGTGGGTTCTGGTTCAGTGGGGGCACACTTGACTGATTTTGTTCCCCTTTGTCAAATTTTTTTTTGCCACAGATCTGTGGGTTATTCAGGTATTATCTGAGGGACTTGTCATCCATTTTCTTTCCCCTCCTCTGTTATCTCAGATACCCATCTCCTTTCCATATCCTCGGGATCCTACCACCAGTTAACGTCTGTCCGAGGCATGACAAGATCTTCTCTCCCAGAAGGCCATTGAATCTGTCATTCCTCCTTCTAGTAGTGTTTATTCCAGGATGTTTGTGGTATGCAAGCAAACTGGGGACTGGCAGCCTGTGAACGATTTGTCCCACCTCAATCAGTTTTTGGTTCTACTCCGATTTACCATGGAGTCTTTTCTCACCTTCAGATGCGCTTTTTCTCTGGGTTTGTGGATGACTTAGGTAGACATTGTGAATTCTTACCTGCACATCTCAGTATCTCTTCAGTCAAGATGCTGTCTTTGGTTCATTCATCAGAGGGTAGTTTATCAATTTTGTGCTCTGCCCTTCAGGCTTACTTCAGCCCTTTATGTTTTTTGTTGGGTGGTCAAGACTTTTGCCTGACATTTGCATGCTCAGGGGTTGCTCTTCCATCATTACATGGACGACTGGTTTTTGTTAGCCATGGAAGCCTTTATCACCTTGGGTCAAGTGCATATGAGGATTCTTTAGTGGACCCTGCAAAACAAATGAAAACTTGCACATGATCCATTGGAGGCTCCTATTTCCCTTCCTCCTTCCCTTGTAGGTGATCTGCATTCGTGGTTGGACAAGGCTCACGTGTCAGCAGGTATTCTGCTTCCTTCCTCTCATCCAGATTTACAACTCTTCATGGATGCTACCTTATAGGGCTAGGGTCATAGATTGATCAGAAAGATGCTTCAGGTCAGTGGTCTCGGGTCGAAAGATTTTACCATATTAACATACTGGAGTTCTGGATGTACTTCATGCCCTGGATCATTTCCTCCATCTTGTCAGGAATTGTCTGGTCATGTCCATTCTGACAATTCTACTGTGATGGCTTTTCTCAGTCACCTAGGCATCACCCAATCTCATTCCATTTGTGGTCGAACCTTGGATCTCTTTTTTTGGGCCCACATGCTCGGTATTCATATCATGTTCCTAGTGCATTCAATCTTGTAGTGAATCATCTTTCTGTCTAGACAAACTGGTCTCTTGATTGTCTTGTTTTCTGGTGGCTATGCCTTCAGTGGGGTACTCCTAACCTGGATGTGTTTGCCACAACCCTCATTACCAAATTCTCTCTGTTTTTGTCTCATGTTCCTCATGCTCTTGCTCTGGCTATTGATGCATTGAGTCAAGATTGGACCAACAAATACCAGTATGTTTATCCTCCAATCTGTGTTCTTCATCCATGCCACCCCATGTCAAGTCCTTCTGATTGCTTCGTACTGGCTGGCACAACTGTGATTCCCACGGCTGCTCCAGTTCCAATCTACACCTCCATTATTTCTTCCTCTTACTTCATCCCTTCTCTAACAACCTTGATCACCGGTGTTTCATTCAGCTCTTCATACTCTCCATCTTCACATCTAGTTTGTCCCAGTGGGGTTGCTTCTTTTTTAGCTTGTTCCATTTGCCATTCCTCTAAGGATATTTATCAACACAAGTGGAACATTTCCTGCTGTTGGTCTTTGGGTCAGCGGTTTGCACCGATTGACCCACTGTTATTCATATTACGGATTTCCTCACTTGGCTCTTTGATCAGGGGTCTTCTGTATCCTCGATCTCGGGTTATCAGGCTGCTTTATCCCACACTTTTCATTTTTATAGGTACTATAAAGTTTTTACCTCTCCTAACCTTTCTCTGTTGTTGCATTCCTTCTGGATTAGGATGTTAATATGGTTCCTCAGTTCCTCACTTTGCCTCCATTTAATTTTTCATTTATCCCCTCAGACTTATTTCCATCTCCTATTAGCCTGTGGACTTCGTTGGTTGGATTTATTTGCCATCGAGGTTTCACGGGCTCTGTATCATTCCAAGTATATTCTCCTTTAACCAAATCAGTCTTTCCTTCCCAAAACTTCAGCCTCCTTCTCGTCATTTTTCCTTACTTCTATTTCCTACCTTTATCCTTGGGTGAATCTGGATTGGCTACTATGTCCTGTCCATGCTCTTTGTTATGCTGCCCCTGGCTTCCTTCTGTGGTGCCTGTTCCCACTTTTAATTCAATGGGCTTTTTCTTCCTTATTGTCTTTTTCCAATAATTTGTTCCAGGTGCTTTCTGATCAGATCAGTCACCTTACTTTTTCCCAAGCATCTCATCTCCATTGGCCCTTAGAGGAAATTCTTCAATTGGGTATGTGGACTATCACACATACGTTCTTATCTCACTCTTTGCACTGGATCATTGTATCTTCATCTTTGGGTTATCATCTTCTGCCTGTAGTCATTTTTCTGACTTCAGTAAGACTGTGACTGGGTAAGTTATCCTTAAAATATCTCTTATTTTTCAGGACCCTTTCCCTTTCCTTTTATTTTTTTTTTTTTACTCTGGATCTGCTCAGTGGTAAATGGTACCTGAACAGGTATGCGTCTCATAGTCAAATCCACACTGTCAGGCCAGGTTGACTGCTTATTTTTAATTTCTATGGAAATAACATGCTCACTTTTGAAATAGGGTGTTCCACAAAATTGCTTGTAGGTTTGTCTTCACGATATATTTGCTTCATTAATATGCCCATTCTGGATTTTACTCACCCATGGACTTCATGG